ATTTATCTTTAGAATTTATCCTTACCTCCAATTCAGGCATAGGTGCTATACAAATATCCTGGATAGTTAGAGCTTTTGTAGTCCATCATATTTTTGTTCTTACATTGTTTCAGATAAGTATTAAAGATTTTATAATAATTTTTCATGGTTAAAAAAATGAACTCTCGAAAGCAAAGCTACTTTCAGTGTCTGTCCATGCAATTAATAGTTGGACCAATTTGTCAATTCAGTGTACAACCTCTGTGAAATGTAGTCTAGAAACTCAGTCATTATCTGCTTTTAACCAAGCTGTTGCACTGATAATCAATTTAACAAAAAATTTGCTACTGGACAAGTATCATGAGAGGTAGAAGGCAGAGACAGAGCAGTGTCACAATTTGGAAAGAAGGTTTACATAGTTAGTTGTTTGCTCTAGATTGTTTTGCACGACTTTTTAATCTCCATGTCTGTGCTTTCCTTCTCCTTCTGACAGTTTTACTGCCCCACAGTAAAAGCTTAAAATGTAGTTGTTTTCAAAATGGGACTTTATGAAAATATCAAAACAGTATTTTGATTTAAATGAAAAATAAATAGAAAAACAAAATACTGCTTAGTGGTGTGGGAAACTAACAGAGAATAGTCTGGTGCTGTGATCTCAGAGCAGAAATAACCCTGGGCCTCAGCAAGAGCAGTGACCCAAAGCAGAGTAACTTTGCAAAAACCAGAAGCTGTAATTCTTATAGTAAGTGGTGATACTCTGCGGAATATGGCCCACCTTCTCATGTCAGTAGCGAGCCTTGTTTCCTCTGGCAGAGGTAGGGAACTAACAAAATTTATCTCAATGCTATCCCTCTTAAGCACGTTGTTGTCTCTTAATTTCATATTGAATAGCATCTGGTGTTTGAAGAACAATTAAGTAGTAACACAGCAGGGAGAAGCGTGGCAATATTGATGCAAGGTGATACTTTTTGTGGTGGTCTGGAGGCTCTCCCCTGGTCACTGAGCTATCCCAGTTCTTCCGCAGCCTGGCCTGAAATGCCCAAAACACCAATTTTGTAACAATAGTGTCAGGCCAAATATAGCTCTCAATTTTGATTTTGTAATACCAGGTTTTCATAACTCCTAGAACACATGGAATTAAACTGTTTCCATCTCTCTTTTTTTTCCTTCAGTCACCAAGGGAAAAAGTATTGAAAAGTGTTTCCTGCGAGAGATTCAACAAAAGCATTGCAGTGCTCTCTTTGTGCAATGAAATCAAAGTGACTAGAAACCGTCCGGTCTGTTTTGTTATCTGAGATTGGGTGATCTATTATTTCAGTTGGAAGTAAGAAGTTGTGGTAGTTTTTGAAAAACCGAACAGTACATAGCTTTTCCTTAGGTAATGAATTACCTTTAAAGAACTCTGCCTTGGTAACATCAGGATGATAGCATTTCTGTGCCACATGCAGATGCTGTAAGGGTAAACGTGTTAGTTTATGAAATACTCAAATATGGCAATACTGTAGGCAGGTTTAATAGCTTACCTGGGAGTTATATGTAAGTGAAATAGTCTTTTATGAACTATTATCTTCCAAAATCAGAAAGGCAGGAATCTTCTTCATCTAAATCTCTAGCTAGGCAGGGGAAGGAAATCAACTACAAAATAGACAACTGTATTTTCCCAGTGCCTTGAACAGCTCTTCAAGCACAGATTGTCTGAAATAGTTACCATAATATGTTTTTACTTTTCAGGCCACGGAGCTTAGGGAATCAGTTTTTTAATATCTACATCATCTCTTTCCTCCTGGGACTGAAGCTGGTTACCATAGCAAAATGGCAAGGAAGCTGATAAGCAAGTAGTACCATTTGGCAAACAGGATATAAATTCATTTTATTAAGGCAGAGGACTGTGAAAAAAAATTAATGAGATTAGAAATAATTTTCCTTTTTTTTTTTTTTGCTTTAATATATTTTAAAATACCTGTGAAGAAAATTATTGTGAACAGATATTGAACAAAATGCTCTTGCTCGCATTAAAAGTGTTGCTGCAAATAGCAGGAGCTTCAATTTTAAATCTCTGCAGATCTTTGTTACTTTCAACATTACACTGTAATTTCTCCTCTTATGTTCCAGGGTGTTGCAAAGATGCCATACTGTGAATTAAATGAGCTTCTGCTTAACAGAATAAATACGGGATGTCTGTCCCCTGCTATTTAAAAATTACATTGCAATATAGTTTTTGTTCCTACTTGATGAAGCATGGTCATCTGAGCCTGTCTTGTAAATCAGTCTATAAAGTCCCTTGGGCTTGTGTAAAATGACGTCAGTGAGTGCTGAAAAATTAAATTGCTTTGCATTCCACCAACGTTACCAATAATGTCAAGTCTGATGATGTTTTTTGTACTCTCTTTTCACAATGTTGGTCTCAATGCACAATATGAATCACGTGCCTTGAACTCTACAGCACGGTTATTTAAGGCATCATCACGACAACAGTATCTTCATGTGCTGGCCCCACTGGGGGGACTTGATGATGGCACTGAGAAATACCTAAAAAGAGCTTGTTTTCAGGACTGAGGTGTTCCTCTTTTCTGCTCGGTTAACTCCTGATATGTTGCCTGCCATCTAAACCACATGCTGTCTCCTGTTCTTGGTGCAAGAGTTGAGGTGCTGTTTTGGGGTGTTTGTTTTGGGTTTGCACTATTGACTGTAAGTGAAATGAAGTCTCAGGTTCTTGGGGTTAAAAAAGAAACCTGCGTATGTCTCAGTTTTATCCATTTCGTATATATGATGCGTGCTTATGCTGTTTTATATGCCCTGACAAATTTTCCACTTACTGCGCAGCTGAATAGCTCCAATAGAGAGGACCTGGGAGTCTTGCTGTAATCCAGCCATGCAAAAGACACTATTTAGTGTTAACCCCTTTGAGCCCATAGTTAACTGTATTGAACTTGTAGAAGTGTTGTTCACAGGCTGTGAGTTGCAATCAGTGCAGCTGTGGAGCAGGAATCGGAGTAACTCCTAGGAAAACCCTATTTCTGCCCTCTTTTTCAGCTGTTTCTTCATTAGAATAAGCACTAGTGGTTTTTTATACTATGGGGGATTTTTCATCCTTATCTTTAGCACAAAAAAATACCTTGAAATGCCCATTGGATGCAGCACTGGATTAGGGTCAGTGGGCAGGATCTGGGTGGAAGTTGGCTGGTCACTGCATCTGGCAGAATCCAGACAGTCTTAGAAAGAGGTGAATGAGAATATAATTGTGAAGGGAATGTGAGAATGTAGGATCAGGGCTTATGTTGTGTTCATGTATATAACCTGCACCTTTGATATCCCTATCTCCGTCCAAAGTGTGGACCCTTTGGATGGAGGGAGCAATCTGTAGAGGATGAGAATAGTTTCCTCCTTGGAAACCAGTTATCTGCAAATACATATAGCTGACGTTGATGGTAATTGCGAGTGGGTATCTATAGCCTGCAGGTTATTGTATTGTAGTATGATACCTCAGTGTGGGAATTCACATTAGGGATGTACCCCAAAATGCAGGACTTTGATGCAGGAGCTGGGGAAGTTGGAGTGTTGCCATCTACTGGCAGATGTCCACACAGAGAAGTCCCTCAGCTTGATGTAGCTTAAGGTCTTGCTTATTTTGAACAGAAAGATGAGTTTTTTCTGCCTAAATCCTGTTTCAAGGCAGAGTTGTTAATAAAATAATTGTGGCTGTCCTTAGCACATGGATGTAGTCAGAGAGAGTAATCCCAGTGGGGTTTCTTGGCGAGTTTGTTACTCTTTGGGATGTGGGTCTGTGTTTGACACAAGGGTGGCTCCTCTCTCCTGTGCAGTGACCAAGTTGATTTGGGGAGTCCTGAGCACCGCCTGTAAGCTCAGAGTTTGAGGGGTGCCCTGCATCCCTCCTGCCCTTCAGAGCTTGGCCCCGTATTTTCAGGTAATGGGCTGGTCTGGAAATTACTGTCTTTATTCTGCAGCTAAAAATGTAATAAAGGTGATGGGTATATTTGGACTCATTAGGGAACAGACCAAAGATCCCTATTTTCAAGAATCTTGTAGGTCTGACAGTCTTTCCCCCTAGAAGAGATGAGAGATGTTTCAAATGAGTCTGTCCTCAAAGGGAGATCCGGTACGGCTGGTACAACTCTCAAAAAGTTATACTGTGACTGACTTCTGTCAAGGAAAATGTTCAAAACCACTTCTGATGGTATCATGTAAACATTTTGCATGAACCAAGTGCCACCAATGGGTGTGGAGGGTTTTTTTTCCTTTTTATTAAAAAATAGTTGGAAAATAAAAGATTGCAAAACTAGTTTTCAGCAAAAGTTATGTGACTGCTTCCTTACAAAACATAACCCACATGGAAACAGAAGAGTGATGTAGCTTTTTCTTCATGCTTATCCAGTCCAAATATGCTTCAGACTTAACAACTCTTTCTGTAATCATGTTCACAGAAATGTAAAAAAACATATCTTTTTTTTAACCTAGTAACATAAAATTTTGAGTTGGAACTAGATTAAAAAAATATTTCGGTTGCTCTTAAACCTTGTGAATGCCAACATTTTCCCTTCAGTATTTTAAACACTATTTCAAAATAATGGTTTAAATGTATCTTTTATATGATTTCAAGACAAATATGTAGGTACACAAACATGGAAATATTTGTGTTCCTCTGTCAGATCTGTCTGCACGAGTCTTAGCTGATGGAGCAGTGATGCATTTTTAGATAGATTTTTGTCACAGTAGTTCCAAGATACTGGATTACGAAAAGCAAGATTACAGAATTACCAGTGGAATTGTATTTTTTACCACTGAAGTAATACACAGTGTTAAGAACATATATTTGAGGCCATATATGGAAATTTTATATTTTGAAGACCAGAGGAATACACTGGAATTAAGAGCCTGAGGTTTAAGCACGGCTTGGATTAAGGAGTCGTGGAAGGGGCTGGGTTCTGGCTGGTGCTTTGTTACTGATGGCAGCTTTCCAAAGTGTAACCAAGTATTTTTCTTTCTTTTTTCTTTTGTTGCAGCTGGTCTCCAATGTTCTCATCTTCTCCTGTACAAACATTGTAGGCGTGTGTACCCACTACCCAGCAGAGGTGTCCCAAAGACAGGCTTTCCAGGAGACCAGGGAATGCATACAAGCCAGGCTGCATTCTCAAAGGGAAAACCAGCAGCAGGTAAGAGCAACAGTGGGAAATAAAAAATGAAATTGCTGAAGCAGAATTAGCATGCAAATTATTCCTGTAGGATGGGATTTGCAGGTCTCTTGCTTCTTGACTAATCCAAGGAAGAATAGGCTGATGATCGAAGGCAGGATTTTTAAAGGTTTGAAAGAGAGATCAGGGAGTATTTCTTCCCCAATACCCTGATGGACTTCTCTGCAGACATCAACAAATCCTGTCTACACTCTGTGGATTAAAATTACACAGTACACAGAGAGTCTGCATAGTTTTTTTGCACCCATCATTGGAACCACGTATTGAATGCAGATGGAACACACGGGCTTCAGGTTGACTTCCTTTGTAAGGTCAAATCGTGGTGTGTTTGACAGCAAAGCTACTGCCAACAGGTAGCTGTAAGGCAGGTTTCAGAAGTGAAAGGTAAAAATTGGTCCACAGATTATACTGTCTCTTGATGCGTCCAAAGAGGGTCCTCCTCCTGCCTTTCCCAAAGGTTCCTACCTGCTTGCACACCTCTGTATACCTTATAGTCCTCAAATGAATTGTATTTGTTCAAAAAGTAAGATTCGTTACCAACTTCTTTTTTTCTTTTTTGCTATAAAAAGACCTGTTGCTGCCAGCATACAGCCCGGTCATCAAGGGTGCCAAACATATCTGCTCCCCTAATTCAGTCATGGCTTCTCTTGCAATGTATGTCTTGTGTCCTCAGAATTAGATACAAAAGACCTTTTGGAGCATCTTGACTATTCCCTTGCTAACACATCTCTGCCCTGCAGTACATCTTGTAGTGGTCTGTCCAGACCAATTTGAAATGAATCATGAAATGGGGCTTCTACTCTTCCCTTGGGAGGTATCTCAGAGCTTTGTTGTGGTTTTGAGGAAGAGGTCAGGGGAATTAATCAACTGGAGTGTCTTTGCATCTCTGTGGCAGTACAGCTTAATTTTTTCCTCGTGTCTCAGCCCATCTGCATCTATGAATTTGTCTTTTGGCAGTGTTTTGTGACGGACTTCTGTCTGACATACTTGCTGTTTAACCCTTACTGTGAAATAATGTGTACACACGCTTTATTCTGGTAGTATATGTATGAAAACAAGATTCACGCTCAAGGCTCCTTTTTCCTTTGTAACAAACATAGTCTCAGAAAGATGAAACAAGCAGCCACTCCTCCTTCCACACCTTGAAATGGAGGAAATGGTTGAGCCAAGAGAGTACCCCATTTTACTTATTGATTACAGCTCTGTCCTCCCTTCTGAGAGACTGCCTTAGCAGTGTGGCTCAAATGCTTGTGCTGTTCTGAATTTAGGAGCTTCTGTGTCACACATAGTTCATGAAAAAAACCCTTACAAATGCCCTAGCTTAATGCCTTTTTCTTCTCCCCCTCCCCAGAACATACTATACCATACAGAAGAAAGCCAGACCATCAGAAAAACATGGGTCAAAGCCAGTCATTTAGAAGTACCCTCCAGTACTTCCAGCAGTGACTGGGTCCTGGCAGCTGGGGATTCCTAACAAGATTATCTGCTGCTACAGCCTGCACTGACGTTGATCTCCAGGTTCAGTTCAGATGTATCCCTGTGCATAAGGCATTGAGATAATCTTGAGGTGACAGCAGGCGCAAATAGGGGCAGCTCAGCCCACATCTGGGAGAGCCAGTCTCCAAACAGGGCTGGAAGGAACGACAACTGCACAGCCCAACACTGTTACCATTGCTTGCCTGTTTTTGGAGATCTGATGGTGCTCCTGTGTGCTGTTCTCTATTAAAGGCGGGCAAATTGTCTCCAGCAAAGAAATGTGTGTTTTCCTTTATTAACCAGTACCCAAAATTAGCAAGAAAGTAAATAAAAATCAAAAATGTCCAATGCAGAAGGGAGAATTCTTGTGATTTCATTACTTGAGATAACCTAGGGCAGTGCCATAGCAGGAATCACTGTTGCTTGCCCAGAATAAAATACTCTTGGATGAAAAAATATGTGTTTTCCACAATCTGTACTGACCAAATACTTAAGATTTGAGTAGGAGATGGGTCACTGGGACTGCACAGTTTTACTGCTAGCATTGCTTGTCTTTTGCCTCTGAAAAGTTGTTCTCTTTTTCATCTCTGCATCACTTAACTTGTGGTGAAAAATAAGTGTTATTAAACCCGAGGACAAATGCATAGTCATAAGACATAAATATTTGAAGTGCTTTTGAGGTCATCTTGAGGGAGTATGACATAAATAGTGAAAAATCCTACGCATTATGAAATCGTCATAGGGATGTATGTGCCCACATATCATATACATACATCTATGTGTACGTATGTAAACAGAGTAGATCTGTATTGTACTCTTTCATCTGTGCCTATTCTAGAGACTAGCACTCCTTGGGATGCATTTGTTTAATGTATAATTCAGTGGAACTATACTTGCATCTTATTTTGAAGTGAGAATTATATATGAATTTGCTCTTGCTTTTTTTAGCAGGTCAGAATGCTGCCTTGTTATACTTGTAAAACAGCAGTCCCAGTCGCCTTGGTGGTGCATAATAAGTGATTTTACAGTAAGGGCTGCAGTACTTTCTAGTCATTATAGCAAAATGAAAATTGTACTCTAGCAGAGACTTTAATTTCTGTGCTCCATTTGAAATAAAATGTAGGGATTTTGTTGTTTTGAAGGTCTTTTAACATGGCTTGTGCTTTACAAAGGCACTTGTTACAGCCTCCTCCTGTTAGCTTCAGAGGTTATTTTCAGCTCCCAACAAACAGAATAAACATAATGCCCAACTCTGTAACATGGTGCAACTTCCTAATTAGTTGCTGTATCAAGGGATATTATGCTACATGCATTTGTTTCACTTGATAAGCCTACCTTATTCGCCGATCGGTGAGAGTTCAGAGTGGTGTTAGTTCATCTCCTGGAGAGCTCAAGTGTCTTGAAAATATTGGTAATTTAATCTGGCAAGTGCCTATGGTGTCAGGAGGAGTAGGGGTGGGGGCTCTCAAGCAAAAGTTGCCCAGAAATGTATGTGAAAATCTCTTGGAGTACTAGTAAGAGAAACTTGGTCACCTGGATGTATCCCTATTTTGCAAGCAAGTAAAAAACAAAAACATCCCTCCACTCTCATGCGCCTACAGGGACTGTTCCAAACCTGCTCCTGAACTTCCCGTTAAGCTCCAAGTTATTTAGAGGATGTGTAAAATCACACGTAGAATAGCAGCTTTCACACATTCAAGGATGCCTATTACAATATGCAAATGACAACAGTGTATACACCAGTTACTCTGGGAAGCATACAAACGTGTTGTGCTTTTGTGCTCTAAGAGTACGCTAATAGCTGACAGAAGCCTGAGGACATGTGCATGATTCATGATCTTTTTTGAAAAATATGTGGATGTGTAACTGTTAGCACCTGCAGTATGCTAGTGGAAGTGTGAGTACTTCAAAAAACAAGTATCTTGTCAGGACTGCTGCAGTTCTGAGCAGAGGAGATAGAAATCCCTCCAACACATCTTCTGTGTTATTACTACCTCTTCAGAGACTGGAGGCAAGGATCAGTCTTTAAGGTACCCACTGAAGGGGGAAAAAAGGAAATACTGGGCAGTGCTGCAGAGTATAAAATGTCTCAGTGCATGCTGAGCACATTTCCAGTAAATTCATCTTCCTCTGGTTCCCCCAAAGTTCCCATCTTTCCTTAGAGGAAGAAATAAATGGGCTACTTTCAGTTAAAACTAGGAATTAGAAACCGGGAATGTGCCTATAACTCTAGTATGGGCAAGAGGTTTGGTGGCGTAATTAGTACAGGATTGCTGACCCCTCCGAGTTAGGATTGTGTTTGAGCCCTACTGTTCACTGTGCTGTTGAGAATTAATGAGCTGTTAGATAAGGCTAGGGGCCTTCCTTTATGCCACATTGTGTCTGTGTCATCAGGAAGGAAGGCCCTTCCCTCTGCTCACTGCAGGTAAAGAAAAGTTATGAAGATGAGAGCAGCACAAGCTTTTGGGGTTCTTCAGCTATTCCAGAGCCTGTAGGTTGGACCACAGTGGAGCTGATCCCAAAGGAGATGTCCCCCACCTTCTTCATCCATAGCAAAAGCTTATTTTGAACTGAGTGGGGTCTGAGTAGGAATAAAATAAAGGTCTGGGCAGAATTTGTCAGGTGTGATTCCTGAAATACACAAATGCGTCCCTGGGGTGCATATTACCTGCAGATTTAAATTTTGTAGCTTCTGCATGAAATTGCCGCTGAATTTAGAATAATAACAAGCACTGGCTTTTGTGTGAGTTTTTAGGAAAATTACCAGAAAGTCATCATTTTGTCATGTAACTAATTTTTGCCTAACGTGCAAAACTATATATGGAACAGCTTACAAAATAATTTTATGAAAGTCATACTAAAGCTATTATCAGTAAATAAAAGCGCCAAGTGAGGGTGGAGAGCCATGAATTGCTGATGACAGAGGTAGTTATTGAAAATACTCTTGTAGGTGAGTGGGTGGATTTACAGGTCTTAATGCAGTTGGGCACTAATAGCAATTTTAAGTGTAGAAGTATAATACTGCATTGTATGGTTGCGCGAACTTTTCATGGTAGTTTTATCAGGGCATTCCTATTGACTTTTTAGCTGCTAAGAACAGGTTTGTGCCTGTTGGGGGAATGTGCTTAGATGATTAGATAGGAAAGGAAGGAATTTTAAATGGTGCCCAAGGGTGTTGGGGTATCAGTCCTCTGATGGAATGTGAAGGAAGACTTCATGGTGGTGTGGAGAGGCTGTGTGGGAGGTCAGACAGTATCTTCTGTCAGAGTCCTTCCAAGAATGGTGCACGGGCACTTTATGAGTTGCATGGCTCCTTCATTTCCAAGAATTGGCAACCATGAGTCACAAGCCCAGTGCATCTGGGATGAAAAATCCTAATTTTTCTTCTAAAATCATTGAATTCCTATTGTGGGATTGGAACAGAATTGCATATGACTTGTTAGGGTATCAGCTGCTGGGTTTATGGAGACTGTTTCACTTGGTTGTACTCATCTTTCACCAAAATGATGACTCATTTCTCCCTAGTAAGGAGCAAAGTGTGTTTGTTAACTGGGCAGCAGGTGCTTTAATTGGTTCATCTGTCTAACTCCACAGGAGCGTCTCCTGCTCTCTGTACTTCCTCGACATGTTGCCATGGAGATGAAAGCTGACATTAATGCCAAACAGGAAGATATGATGTTTCATAAGATCTACATCCAGAAGCATGACAATGTCAGGTAAGAACAGCAGCCCATCTCCCAGCTGCTGGGGTGGAGGGACCCTCCCAGTGCTTGGCACTTAACACCCAGGGATGAAGATGACAGCGACACATAATCCAAAATAAGTGTTAAGACTCTAATGTGTCACCAGTTGACTTTTGAAAGTTTGTTTATAGGACGGGAGGAGGATTGCCACATTCCTGCAACATCTTCCTTTGAGAAGCAACTTTAACCAATCTCTTTCCTTAGATTTTTTTTTTCTTCCTTTTCTAGTGTGAGTCTTGGTGTTTTTGAGACGGTGGTATATTTGGGTTTAGTAATTTTTTGACAGTTATATGCACCCTTCTGATAAGCCATGATGGGATACAAGTTAAAGATTGGCAATGCTTTTCCATGGGGTGAATTGCAGAGCTCAGCTGAGATTAAGATCACCTGGAGTGGTCTCTGCCAGTTTGGAATTATAAGCAGAGGGTCCGTTACTGACAGCCGTTGGCACCTGCTCAGTCACCCAGTGATGTGTTGTTCCTTGATCTACCTGGATGAGCAGAAGAAATGAATATCCAGTCTCTGGCAAGTCATGCAAAATCAAACCCAGTCCATGTTGCTGGGGTAGTTCAGACCCATGAGCTTCTGAACATCACCAGGTTCCCACTGTCCACTTCCCAGGGAACAGTAGGGCTGCAGTTACAAAGTTAAACTTAACTTAATCTTGATGCATTTTACCTCCGCTGTTGTACGTGACTTCTTTGGGGATCAATAACAGAATCACAGAATCGCAAGGGCTAAGCCAGGTCCTGGAACTGTGTAACAGCTCTGTCATAAATATGTCTATAGTCTGTCATAAAGTCTATAAATACTTCTACTGAGACACAGAGACTGGGAACAGAGAGCTCCCTTCTTCCCCTCTCCCCTTCCAACAAGAGGTTTTCCTGTAAACTGCTTGCGTAGCCTTCTCTCTTACATAGCTTTAAGTATGTTGGTGAATTATATTTTCTTATACTTGGTGCTCAATGAATAAAAGTGGATTTCTTACATCTCTAATATACTGCATCCTGTATAATCTCCAATAGACGATGTTGTGAAATTGACTTGAAATTCTGAAACATTTGAAGACACCTCCTTAGCATTGAGAGTAGGGGAGAGAGGTAATGTACAAGCAGAAAATTGGGAGGAGGTTGCTCACTGTTGAATATAGAGTCTGATATAAAACTCACTGAAATCAGGGCAAGTCTGTGTGCTGGCTTGGATGGACTTCAGTTCAGCCCTTCATATTTTTGGTTGTGACTCAGTAAGCAGATAAATATCCTCTAGCAATACTGAAGACAAAAACTTTATCAGATATCAAAGACTATAGCAGTCCAGTGATGAAAAATAAAGAATGTACATACAGTGATGCAGGTGAGGGGAAGAGGCTGTGCTGAGTGCCCTCAGCAGAGTATGTTCTACAGCAGAATAGATTAGGTTTTGTGTCTTTACATCCATTTTTTCCTTAATGGCATTGAGCTTCCTCAAGAAGGTGTGTAAATTTCTTGTTATAGATGCTGTTTGTGAATTTTCTTAATAGAGAAAATACTTTTTTCCAATACTCAAAGGTCAGCTTGACATTAAAACTGAATGCAATTCGTTAGATATAACATGAGGCTAGTCAGTATGGTATCATAGTCTTTCACATCCATTTCCATATATCATTATTTGCAGGTTTGAAAGTTGTTCAGTACAGTCAAATCTTAGTAAAGGTGATTATCTCTTTAATATGATACTTATTTGAAATTTTAACTATATCACTAAGTAAACAAAAATGAAAGAATAATAAACTAAATTTACAAATGAACAATTTTAAAGGGAGAGAGGAAGCTGACAGAATGATTATGGTGGGAAAAATAGCCCAAAGATAATGGCTGCTATGAAGACATGGAGATCTCGAAAAATACAACAAAGAATGATGCATGACCCAGAGTATAGAAAGAGAAAACAGATTGCTGTGATTTTCAGTTATGGTGTGAAGTAACATGGAAGGTGAAACATATACATAAATGGGTATATGCACCAATCAGTTCCTTGGACTGTCCATGACTGTTTTCATGCCTTGCATATTTATTGAATAATATGAGCATTACCGTAACAGATTACCTTCTTCAGCCTAAAAGTAATTTTAACTTTGTTCCTCATGGTAATGAGTGTTTAGGAATCAAGTCCTGGCAGGTGCTGACTGTCTCCAGTGCAAAGCGAGGCTGAGGTCTCAAAAGATCTTGCAAAGGGAAACAACTTAAGTGGTATCTACCTCAAAGTGTGGACTTTGTTACCTAAATCAAAGCCACTGAGATCATGGAAAAGGCTGGAAAAGGGAGATAAGAAATAGGAATAAAATAGTATATGTACTGAGAGCAAATAGAAGGTAACTTGGGAACATCTCATCTTCATGTACTTTGGGGAAATGAATAACTAAGTACGAATATTGAAAAAAGGAAACATGGTTTGGAACAAATGACTCATTTCACACTAGGAGTTCAGCATGGAGCCTTTGCTCCTGCCTGAGTACACTGAAAGCACCTCTAGTGGGAATGACTGTGGATGATTTTAAAGCATTTACGTACACACAGAAACACACTGGTGGTAGGGGGTACCATCTCAATGATGTGGATTAATGAACTGGCTTAATAAAAGCAAGCATGCTCTTTACTTTTCACAGGGAAATGCCCAAGGGGAGGCTTTTGAGATGAGAATGCTCCAATCCATTTTGTTTTGGTTTTGTCACTATTCAAAAATGCCATAAGATCTAAGTTTTTATGAGCGAAAGGTTATTGTGTCAAGGCAATAGAGAAGTATGTGAAGTCGGTGCAAGGGTGCTGTGCCCAGCCATTGAATCTGGCTTCCTGTTGGTGATTTATGAGCAGGAGCATTTCCTCGGCAGTTTGTAGAAGTGGGAAGGTCTGTGCGTCTGCACAGCGGTGTGGGTTTCCCTCCTCCAATCCAGAGATTCTTTTTTCCTGCTCTCTCAGATTAGTTAAAAAAGTAGATTATAAATGAAAGTATAACAGATGGTAATTTTCATCAGCTATTGATTTAAAAGTTTGATTGCCATCATAATTCCTGGAGCCCAAGATCTTAATTTTTACTGGGTCTTCAGAGTGAGGTTGCTCACCAATTTCACAGGTAACATGGGAATAATGAGTTTCACTGACACTGGAGGTTTCCAGCCAGCCAGGTTTAACTTTGGCCCTTTGAACTCGGGAGGCACAGGAGCACAGCCTTGTGCACTTAGTCTGGTTTGACATTTTGCATGGGAGCAGTGGTTTACTAAATTCTGTTCCAGACAAGATGAAATATTTTAATTTTCAGGGATGATTGGGTCTGGGCTTTTGAGACCACCTCTAATTTTAATTAAAAAACAAACCCAAACCATTCTATCAGCAGAAAATGTTACTCTAAAATTATGTGAAGTTACTGTGTGGGGTATTTTTTCTTGTTTTAAAATGAGGTACCTTTAAAAGACCAGTTCTGCTGTGATATGCTGGATTTCAGATATTAGGTTATGTGCTTCTTTTTCTCTTTCTAAAAAGGTTACATTTTTTTAAAAAGGTTTTTGGTTGGTTGGTTGGGTTTTTTTAATAAGCAGCTAGTTTAAAACCTATGTAGAAAAGACATTTTCCTCAGGTGCCTGTAGCAGGTCTGCAAAAAACAGCCATGAGCCTTTAATAAGGGGCAGTTCCACCATGACTCTGCTTACTGTGTTACACTTCTCTTAGCGGGTGGGTTCTCTCTCTGTTTGGGGAAAGTGATGTTTTTATGCAAAATACAGTGGTCTTTCTGACCTGAATGGGTAAAAGCAAATCTTTTTAGAGCCTTATCAGGACTTCCTGTGAATGAGTTCATAATCTCCTGCTTATTGTTATGGAAAGTAAAGTTCAGAGACTAATTTATCCACAATTAAAATATAATTTCCTGTCATTTTTGGCAGCAAAATTTGTTTCAGGATTATGTTCTTCTGAAGAATTTAGCGTGATGATGAAACTAAGATGAAGAGGTTTGGGGTTAATACACTCTTTTTTGATGCAAATGAACAGAACTTTTTAACAGAGAACTAAACTGTTTCCCACCCTGGTTTATTGAATAAGCATTAACTTTGACAAATCCAGAACCTAAGAGCGTGATTTGACCTTTCCCACATGTGTGTGTTAAATATAAAGTCTATTGTCAAATGCAATCAGGAAAGGAGTTCCCAAGACTATGCAAGTAATTTGGGGTAAACAAGGTGAATTATGTAACTAAATTGGTTCACGTTATCATGAATGAGATTATGTCTGATAGACAAACCCTAAAATACGCGTAGATAATATTGTTTATCTATCATGCTTCCCAGGCAGAATTTTAAATGTTTTACATTACTGTTGCTATTTATAGTATCTCACTGCAATGATAACGGTTTTAATGTTATCTAGGTTTGGCCAAATATAGTAATCTCTCTGCTATAAAAAGAGGTTTGAAGTCCTCTGTGAAGGGATAAAGCTTGGCTTTGTCACTGAAATTCCTTTGATGAACTGTTTCAAGAAGCTTATTTTAGGGCTGGCATCCAAGCTCAGTGAAAGTGACAGTTTCTTCTCCCCTTCACGTAATTCTTATGAATCATGTACTCAGCAGCATTAACCTGATCTCAAAGTTTTTTAAACATCTTGACAACTTGAACTAAACCATTTGCAGAAACAAAACAGTCCATTTGCTTTCAGCTTTGTAGATGAAAAACATTTTTAACTAGTTTTCTGATTTAATTACGTTCTAACACCAAAAATTCGCCTCTTAAAAATGACCAAAGAGTTGCACTTTAGCTGAGTGCCAGGGCATTCAGACCAGCCATGTCAACTTAACCTGTTTGTCTTATAGGCATTGTGATGCTTAATTAGTTGTTTACAAAGTGTGTTAAATTCTTAGATTGCAAGGTGCTATGTAATTGTGCTATGAAAGTTGTTAAAATTGCAGCTACGTAAACATCTTTTTCCTTCCTCCTCCCACTGTCCTCACGC